TATTTTTTGAAACATTTTCGTTTCTCGTTGCTTTACACTGTGTAGATTCAACTGTATTTTTTTGGTTTGGTACTTCTATATGGTGATGGCTTTGTTGTGGCGGATCTTTCCTTGGTTTTCTTTTTTTTTTTTTTTTTTGCCTCACTGTTAGTAGAAAATATGTATAATTTCATTTCATGTCATTGAAATTTACTAGTGATATCACCTAAAACGTTCTGGTGATGAGAGAAGGATATTTCTACACACCACGAAATGAGACGAAGAAATAAAAAGAATAAGACATTGATGTGAGTCATGTTTTTCTTGTTTTTTGGTCTCACCACTAGTAGCAAATATGTATAATTTGATTCAAAGCTACTGAAATTTACTAGTGGTACCACCTGTGACATTTTGAGGAGAAGACATCTATATTTCACACACACACACACACTGTGAAATGAGGCAGAAATGTAAAGAAAATGAGACACTGATGTGAGACATCTTTTTCATTTTTTTGTTTGGCCTCACAGCTAGTAGCAAATATGCATTACCATTTATGCCACTGAAATTTACTAGTGATACTACCTGTGGCAATCTGATGAAAATAGAAGTATATTACTTTTACACACACACACATAGCGTAATGAGGCAAAGATGTAGAAAGAATGAGATAATAATGTGAGCTATGTTTGTTTTTTTTTTTTTTTTGACCTCACGGGTAGTTGCAAGTATATTTAATTTCATTTAAAGTCAATGAAATTTACTAGTGGTATCACCTAGAGCATTCTGATGATAAGTATATTTCACACACACACACAGTGAAATGAGACAGAAAAGTAAAAAGAATGAGACAGTGATGTGAGTCATGTTTTTCTTTTTTTTTTTTGGTCTTACAGCTAGTAGCACATATGCATAATACCCGGAGACTCGCAAAATAGTGTGAGTTCTTCCATTGGGCTGACGGTCAGTTTGATTCCACTGTTGGAAGTGATCGCAAATTGACAATATTATTAGAAGACAGTTTAGGAGGAGATATTCATCGCCTTCACGTTAAAAAATATATCATTATTAGTTTACTTCTAATTTTATAAGTTTTTTTTCTTTTTCTTAGCACTTTTGATACTCACCGCTAAGTGAGTAGTGTATTCATACTTTTGTTATGTTTTGAAATAAATTTATGCATCTGAATTATCAAATATGTTGTTGTCATAGTTTTGCTTTAAACAACTTCACTAAACATGGGTAAAATGATCATTTTTCCAGAAACAACTGCCTCATAACTGTTTTCACACAGTTGCAACAAACAGCAAGTCAACATCCCCGCAACAATTTCCTGGGGCAGCACAACTGCAGCTGAAAAGCGGAGAAGCTGCAGCTGCACCAAACAGAGTCTTATTTATAAAAGACTCGACCCAATTTTGAAAACATTTAAACTAAGAAAGAAGAATAAAAATAAAATCAAAATCTCAGATTTTGGGAAACGTTTTAAATTAAGAAAGGAGAATAAAATCATAATTTATTCTTTTAAAAAAGGATTTAAATTAGGAGAATGCGAATAAAAACCTGATTTCAATTTTAGGAAAGGTTTTAAAATAGGAAAGTGCTAGGAAAGAAAATCCAAAAAGAAGGAAATGAAGGAAAAAAGAAAGGAAAAAAAGGAAAGAGATGAAGAGGAAGGATGTGGCGACAGCTCCCCTCCTTAAGGATCGGCCAGTCCTCATGCCGAGCCCCATGTCAGTCTCCTGGGGTTAGGGAAGCTTCGACGACCTCACCTATCGAAGCTTCTAGTCCCTTACTCTTTAATTATGGCAGCACCTGGATCTCACTATGGACTGTACTGCCTCCCAAAGCACTTGTGAGTGCACCACCATCTCGGTCCGATCTCCTAAGACTGAAATTTTTTGCACGGTGGTGGCCATGGAGGCAGAGAATCGATTGTCACTAGAACTGGTCCCGCTACTCTACTGGTAAGGGCTCTTGTCTCCTCGGGCACTACCAAAGGGAGTACAATGAGGCGTTTGCCATCCTTGGTAAAGGACTACGAGTTTCTGAATCCCTCATGCTTAATCTTTCATTCAAATTGCCACAATCTTCCTAGCAGAAGGTGGTTGGCATCCATGGGAACCACATCACATCATACCTGGTCCTTCAGTTGACTCCCTATTAAAAACTCTACTATGCAATGTCGGTCGACGCTGACCCTGTCTTTTTTCTTCAGCCAGTTAGTGAATATGGCTAAAAATGTCTTTGCTTCGTGAGTCCCAGTTTCTATTTCATCAGAGTCGATGCCATGTCCTTGCTACTACCCCTGTTGATAATAAAATTGCATACCTTTTTGTTCACTGTGCAGAGGATGTGGAAAATGTTGTGGCAAAACCACTGCGGATCCCCCATGTCCTCAGCTTGCAAAATCTGTCAAAGCACAAGTGCTCCTTATCTACTGGAAGTTGATGCTCCTCAGCTTCTTGCTCCACGCTAACCTCTTCCACGGAACCGTACTCGATAAAAGCTACAACTCTGCCCGTCGAGTAGCATGAGGCTATGTGCCCAAATCCGTGACATCAGAAGTATTTTATACTGAGCACAACATTCGGCTTATTCTCACTAGAGGTGGCCTTCTTTGTATCTGAACCAATTTTCTCAACTCTTTGTGGCATGCTCCACCTGGTGTCTTCAATTGTGGGTGGCTGCCTGGCTGGTGGTGGCTGTCTATTCTGCTTCTGCTATCTTTCCACTTTCAATGCTAGTGTTTGGACACCCCCCAGCGTCCAGTACAGATGTAGCTGCAACACATTGCTAATACTAGACTTCAAGCCCCCACGATATCAGGCCATTGTACTCTCATCCGGCTCTGTCAGATCGCACTTCAGTTGTAAGAGGTTGAACTGAGCTGTTAACTCCTCCGCTGAAAGGTCTCTCTGTTGCAGATTGTGGAGTTTCAAAAGCATGTCTTAGTAGTAATGAGGGAGAAGATATTTCTTCTGCATGATTTTCTGCATCTTCTCCCACCTGGTAATCTTTTCGCTGTCTTCTCCCCTTTTTTGTGGTTGTACATTCTCCCACCAAATAATGACAATTTTCTTCAATTTGATAGCAGCTAATTTGAACTGCCTCTCTTCGTGCACCATTTTATATACGAAGATTCGTTCAACTGCCTGTAGTCATTCAACAAATTCATCTAGATCCACGCTCCTTTCAAACTCGGACAAATTTACCTTGATTATGTGGTCTTCGTGCCCCTCTAAATAACATTTCTCGAAGTGTTTCCCTGTGAAGACGTAGGTATCCCTCTCTGTCTCTAATATGAGATTTTGAAGAATTGTGACCCATCTTCTTCAACGCTGAAATTATCCCTATGGAAGGGATTCAGATCCTCTTCTTTCTCTCCCCTTCAACTCTCTAGGTCTCAGTCGAAGGTGACTTCTTTCTGTCATTTCTTCAATCTCTACAATTATTTGTTGGAGGTGATAGAGTTCTCGTCGTATTTCTTCTCGGGTAGGTTAGGGTATATTTCTCCTTGGCAGCATGTTTAACGCCTTAAGATCTATGAAATGGAAAAAAAAAACAAGAAAGAAGAGAAAAATAATTGGTGGTGGATTGGATAGAGGCGGATGCTAGAAATCCTAGGATGGGACTACGATTAGGCTAGCTCTAATACCAAAGTATACCGGAGTTAACTCAAACTACGATGCAAGACATGAATTAATAACTTAAAAGGACAGTTACAACGATGACTCGAAAGAAAAAGAAAGACACCACATAAATCTAAAAAAAAGAGATATTATAAATAAAGACTCAACAAATAAAGACACAACAAGCTCGACGAGGAGGGATTCCGAAGAGATAGTGTTGGAGCGGCGGCTGTAGTGAAGGCTGGAGCAATGTCAAGCGAAGGTGCAGAACGGGCAGCAGGGAGTTGAGAATAAAGGTGGCTGCAGTTGACTGCGAACTGCAGGTGGCTGCAGCAATGGCGTCAAGAAGGACAGCAAATGCGCTGCGAACTGTCTGCAGTGAAGCTGCATGGGGATCGGCGATGGTCTAGGAGGCCAGCAGAGCAACAGCTATTCTGCAGGGAAGCTGCAGTAAAGCTTGGTGACAATCTGAGAGGAGCAGCAAGGAAATCGGCCGGCTGTTGGCTGGCAGGGAGGTGGTCGGCAGTGTTGGAGGGTGGCTGGAATGTCGGCGAACTGTTGGATAGCGTGGAGTGGTCGGAATGGTGAAGATAATCACCACCTCAGACAAGGTTATATCTGGGGCACCTTCCTATTCGTCGGATACAACCCTCAAGAGGAAAAACACTCGAATAAAACTCAATTCCAATTTTAAATTCAAGACCCCTTACCCTAGACACATCAACTTCTATTTATAAAATACTTGACCCACTTTCAAAAACATTTAAAGTAAGAAAGGAGAAAAAAAATAAAATTAAAATCTCAGATTTTGAGAATGATTTAAAATTAAGAAAGGAGAATAAAATCAGGATTTAGGCTTTTAAGAATGGATTTAAAATAGAAGAAGGAGAATAAAAATCAAATTTCAGTTTTAGGAAAGGTTTTAAAATAGGAAAGTGCTAAGAAGGAAAATGAGAAAGGAAAGAAAGGAAGAAAAAGAAAAAGAGGAAGAAGGAAAAGAAGGAAGTGAAAGGAGTGGGTGGCAGTCCCCGCCTTTGAGAATCGGTCAGTCCTCATGCCAAGCCCCGCGTCAGATACGTGTCAATAATTAATCCTGTATTTGCATGTTATAACATCAAAATCATAATAGACAAGTCAACAAAGCAGGCCCTAGCTATTGAGGGCGGGGAAGCATAAATTAAATTTAAACAGACGTCGTGCAAAAATAAAATAAAGTTATTTTAGCAACTATGCAAAACTAGATAGGGAGTAATGAAGAATACTCAGAAAACAGATCTTAAACAGGTAGAATCAAGCTAACAGTGGTGAAAATAACGTGATATGTTCAAGTTCATTCACAAAACTGATCCCGAAAAATTGAAATTAGTTACTAATATATCTGATAAAAATCCAACAAATACAATATATTTGCGATAGATTATCTCTACTCCGCCTTAAACTCAATCAAATACATAAAACAACGTTAATGCTTTCCTGAATCCTCATCAGAAAATAAACATTAATGAATTACAAGCATTTTTTATATAATAAAAGCACCTTCGTTGCAAGTTTCCTAGTATATAGGAAATGAAGGATCTACGTCATGACCCCATGCTTCGAGTCCCCCAATAATATCTTTTGCCAGAGGAAAACCATTCTTGCTCAGGAAATCAACAGCTCTCTGTGAATCATTTCCTCTTCTACAAACTACATAGAGTGAAGCAGCTTTACCTGAATCCTTTGTTGCTTCTTTCAAATGTAAATTGACAAGGGATATCTGATCCCCCAATGTGGACAGTGGAATGTTTATGGATTTAGGAATAGCTGTGATTTTGAAATGATGCGCCGGGCGTACGTCTAGTAATACATGTGGTTCGTGTTTATCGATCAAATCTTTGTACTCTCTACTGCTTATTCGCGCACTGTCCGAAATCAAATTTAGCTTCGGACGAGCCTAAAATTGCAATGAAAATAATGCAGATTACAAAAAGTTAAACTGAAGTACTGCTGATTATTGATTATGCTTCCTTGTTATGAATCTCATTGATAAAAGCTGAAGCAATAAAAAAAGTATGAAATTATGGGCTAAAACATGCAGAACAGAAGTATGGTAATCCTATGCAAAACAATTCAGATTTATTGAATATATTATATTTGACCAAAAATTTATTATATTATTATTTCACAGTGAGGTTTGAAGGTCATTCATTTTGCTCAAAAGACTATTTCAAAGTTATGGTCAGCTCATAGAATGTCCATTTAGACCAGTACAGAGCGATTGAAATTTTACAAATGATTTTACAAATCTTTAATTTACTAGAATATAATTTTATTTCATGACCAACTTTCAAAGTTCGTGGCAGATCAATTAAAACAATCTATTTCTTTAGGGATTCTTAGTCATATACCATTGCAAATTTAGTCTACATGTGAAGAGTAAAATAGTAAGTTTCATTAAAAAAATAATAATAAAAAAAAAACAGTGAGTTTCATAAATAGAAAAAAAAAGTTTCATAAAAAGAAAATGGTTGAACTTTTAAGTATTAAGATTCACAAAAGTTGCAGGATCATAGCATAAAAAAGAATAAAGATGTTTGATAATTAAGTATTTTGACAGAGAAAACACAATATTTTGCTTACGCAGTTAATTTTAGACTTTGTTGGAGAAAGTTGTAATGCTAACACAGTAACTTCTTTCGTAGTACAATATTTGATTTCAAGCCTAGGAGCTCATCAATGGTGACAGCAAAATGCAAAAAATGTAAGGCTTAAAGAATCTATAGTATAATATTTTATTCTAAATAATTATAAAAGAGATTTTATTGAAAATATGCATTACAGTTCTTTTTTAATATAAAGGAAAAGGTTCACACTGGAGGCTACCCATCAGACATGGGTCGGGTTCCCATGGCTTCAGCTGCTCAACTTCTTCAAAGAATTATTCAATCAAAGTGGAAATGGGAGAGAGGAGCCAAACAAGACTTTTAATCTTTCCATGGCTGCTACCTTTCAACAAAGGAGAAGATCATCAGGGAAGGCTAGTCAGCACATCACCACCGTAAAGCGCTTCTCATTAAGCCATGATTAAAAAAAGGGAGAAGAATAATGCAGATTGGTCTGGGAAGATGAAGAATGATCTAAGAATGAAAGGACAAAATGGTTTCCAACTACTACAAATTCCCTTGACATCTTTTAACATCCATTGAAATACAAGGAGAAAGAAACCTGGAGGACAAAAGATTTTGGTGGCAAGATCCATCTACAATGAGGAAATGCAGAAACATACACAGCATTAAGAAAATATGTAACTATATTCCATTACATATGTGATCAACAATCAGAATACATAATTACAAAGCCATGAAATGCAAGCTCAATGATACCCTTTGAATAATGTTTATATCTATCGGCTAGAAAATATATCGCCGCTGATTTTGAACGTTAAGAAGATAAAGACTCCAAAAGCCACATCATCATATCAGCAAGTATGAAATCAAATTACCTTATCAGACATAGGAGATTGCGTGAAGCCCTCATAATCAAAATTTTGAAAACTCTGTCGAGTTAAGGCAGCATTGTCTCCACAAGCAAAACACTGCAATGACCTTCCCCTAATCTTGACCTAGAAAATATTGCCCAATATGAGAAAATTAATAAGGTAAAAAGTTGTTAGATGTTGCATTTACAAGGTGGCAACTGGAATGGTTGCATAATTTAAGTTCAAAAGTATAAAAAAAAAAGAAATAAATAAAGTAGAAATGCAGAAATTAATCAAACGGATAAAGGCCACTGCAACAAACAACAATTGCTAGCTTTATAATTAAAATGGAGTCATAAGTCAACAATCAGTAAATTGAAGAGGAGAAAATTCACATGATGTCTCTTAGCTAGTGAATCAAATAACAGAAGAATAAAATAAAATGCAACCAAAAATTTAATACAATCAGTTGTTAAAGATGACAGAAGCATTATGTGCCAAGGATGTGATGGTTATGAGAGAAATTGCTCATAAGATCAAGCATGATGCATGATAGTCATAGGCAAGAGCTTTTAAATCCTGAAACTATATAAATCATCTTGTTGACTCTATAATTTTGATGATAATAAACACATGATTGCTAAATCTAATATTTTCATGCAGAAATTTCAAGATCATTTGATTATTTGTATTAAGGAAGCTTGGAGGTCGAGATGATTAAGACAAGCACAATAATGAATGTAAAGCTCATATTCTCTTCGATTCTGTTGATAAAGCTCAAATTATTTTAAATTATTAAACAATCCAAATTTTGTCAGAAAATCTTCAGCAATACATCTAATTACTAATATGTATTTTGTTTCCGAATTCATTTTGATTCCAACTGACACTTCAATATACTATCTTATATTTCCATTATTTTCATCTTTCCAATGGAGCATGAAAATATTAATATAAAATTTTGCAATTTGTTACTATCTTATGGCAATGATAATTTGAAAATTATAAAATAAATATGTATTTAATTTAGAGATTTAAATCTGAATACATGGAATGTAATTTTCATAGTAATAGCTCTAATGACAGAGTTGTAAGTATGGGTGATCAAATCATTAAAAGGTGTGCACGTAGTAGATATCTCGGGTCTATTGTTCAAAATGATGGTGCTATAGATGGAAATATTATTAGCAGAATTCAAGTTGGATGGTTGAAGTGGAGGAACGTATCGAGCCTATTGTGTAAAAGAAAAGTACCGCTTAGACTAAAAGGTAAATTTTATAAGATGGTGGTAAGACCTGCAATACTCAATGGCGCAGAATGTTGGCCTTTAAAAGAGAGGCATAAAAAAAAGTGTGTTGCTGAGATAAGAATGTTTAGGTGGATGAATGGTTTAACACTTAAGAGACAATGCGAAATGAATATATCCATGATAGAGTTGGTGTAGCTCCATTGGCAGGCAAGATTAGAGAGAGTCTTCTTAGATAGGTTGGTCACATTAAACGTCGATCATTTGATGATACGGTTAGGAGAATGGATGTTTTACATTCGACTTATGTTAAGAAAGACAAATGTAGACCTAAAAAGACTTGGGCATATTGTATAAAAAATGATTGATTTATTACAATTAAATGAAAATATGACACTCAATAGGACGCAATGGAGCAAAAGGATTCATGTAGCCGACCTTACTGAGTGGGTTAAAGTCTTGTTGTTGTTGTATTTAAATATGAATATATATATAATTCTAATCAAAGATCATTTTTTTATACAACATACCCAAATCTTTTAGGTCTACCTCTACCTTTCTTAGCATAAGTCAAATTTAAAACATCTACTCTCCTAGCAAGGTTGTTAGATGATCGACATTTAATTTCACCAAACCATCTAAGGTGACTCTCTCTAATTTTGTTAGCCACATGAGCTACTCCGACCCTTGCACAAATATATTTGTTTATCATTTTTCCTAAAAAGTTGACATCCATGATGCAATTTTTTTCCTAAACTCTCTAGTGTTATCCATAAGAATAATATCATCTGTGAAAAACATACACCAAGGTACATCTTACAATAAATATCCAATAAGAACATCCATAACTAAAACAAAAATATACGGGCTTAAAGCCGATCCTTGATGTAATACAACTGAACTAGAAATATATTTGGTCAATCTTCCTTGTGTTCGAACACAAGTAATAGTTCTAGTATACATATCTTTAATGACTTGAATATAAGCAATATCAACACCATTTTATCTAGAACTCTTCAAACTACTTATCTTGAAACTTTATCATAAGTTTTTTTCTAAATCAATAAAAATCAATGTAGATCCTCCTTATTCTCTCTATATTTTTTTTATCAAACCTCTCAATAAATGTATAGCTTCCATAGTAGACTTACCCTGCATGAATTCAAACTGATTTTGAGAAATTTTATATCTCATCGTAACCTACTTTCAATTACTCTCTCCCATAATTTTAACATACGACACATTAACTTAATTTCTCTATAACTTGCATACTCTTGTGTATCCCCTTTATTCTTAAAATATGAACCAATAGACTCTTTCTTCACTCACAAGACACCTTTTAATTTTTAAAATAATATTAGAATGGAATAGTTGAGACAACAAGAAGTCTTTTTCCACCAAGTGGGGGCTACACGATCCTTTTTCTCCATTAGGTCCTTTTGAGTGAAAGAAGAAAATTTTAGTTGAGATGACTAAATCTATATTAGATGAATCTAATATACTAAAATGTTTTTGAAATGAAGCAATCAATATATCTTAAGTTATCAATCAAAATTTTATATTTTTATATATAATCGGTTATTCTTGTTATGCATTAAATAAAAAAAAAGATCAATTAGGAAAATTTGATAGAGAATCTGATGATACAATTTTTCTTGGATATTTTATATCATAACAAAGTTTATAGTATTTAATAAGCGAATGGTGATTTTGAAAGAATTAACACATTTTTTTAGATGAAATTAAACATGGATCCATTAAAAATGATGTTGATGAAGATGAAATTGATAGGGGAGCTCAAAATATTAATTTAAATGATCCAAAAAATGAGAATTGAAAATCTATGTTCCCCAAAGAATGGAAGAAGGCAAAGACTCGTAGGATAACTACATCAAGATATTAGCACTAAAAGTAAAATGAAATTATTCACTATGCATTTCTTTCTAAAATAAAACCCTATTATTGATGAAGCGCTTAATGATGAATTTTATGTTATAGCCATGCAAAATTAATCTCAAGATCTAAAGAACAAACTATAATTGGAACTAAATGGGTCTATAAGAATAAACTCAATTACTCTGGTTGTATTAATAAAAGCAAAACTAAGTATAGTCAAATAAAAGAAAAGGATATTAAGGAATTTTTTATACCGGTAGCAAGATTAGAAGCTATTAGATTACTCATTGCTTTTCATGCCATAAGAACTTCAAATTCTTTCAAATGAATGTACAAAGTACATTTTTAAATGGGCATATAGATCACATAATATTTTTATAGAAAAAACGTCCCGGTTTAAAAATATTGTTCACTGAAATGACATATATAAATTAAAAGAAAATTTTATATGGATTGAAACAAGCTCACAAAGCATGGTAAGATAGAAGAATCATCTCAAGATATTAGTACCAGAAGTGAAATTGAGAAATAAATTAATCAATATATATTTCATTTTGAAATATAACTCCAAAAAATTAATGAAATACTTTAATGATAAATTTTTTTAAGTTATAGTCATGCAAAATGAATTGAATTAATTTAAGCGAAAAGATGTTTGAGAATGTCCTTAGACCTAATGAACATAATAAAATTGGAACTAAATGGGAATAAACTAAATAACAGAGATTATATTATTAAGAACAAAGATTGGCTTATGGCTCAAAGATATGGTCATATAAAAGAAACAGATTTGGAAGATTTTTTTGTACCAATAGAAAGATTAAAAGCTATTAGGTTACACATTGTTTTTACAAGTCATAAGAACTTTAAACTCTATGAAATTGATGTAAAAAATGAATTTTTAAATGGTTATATATATCAAGATGTTTTATAGAACAATTTATTCGAGGATATTGTACACATATCACATATGCAAATTAAAGAGCTTTATACGGATTGAAATAAGCACACGAAGCTTGGTGTGATAGGCTTAGTAGTTTTTTCTATAAAAGAAATTGATAAAGATAGAATAGACACCACTCTCTTCATTGAGAAAATATGAGTTAACATTATTATTATTCAAATTTATGTTAATGGTATTTTATTTGGAATCTCAAATGAATTCTTATGTCATGAGTTCTCATTAATGATGAATAAGAAATTTGAAATCAACATGGTAAGAAAAGACTTCGTTTGACGTTTTAAATGGAGCAATAAGAAAAAAATATATCTTTATATGTCAAACTAAATAAATGGCTTGTTAGAACAATTTCATATGAAAAGATTCAAACCCGGTAAAACCCACATAAGTCAGACTACTAAATTAGATTTAGATAAAAAAGAAAAAATTATGGATAATTGATTCCCTTTTATACCAGACTAGAAGCAGACTTGACATTATGTTTGTTGTATGAGTTTGTACTCATTTTCAAGACAACTCTAAGAAATTTCATTTAACTGTCGTTATGCATATATTTTGTTATTTGATAGGCACCTGTAGGTTGGGTTTGTGATATCTCAAAAATTTATTAACAAGTGAAAATGTATCTTAGTCCTCTATGAAATAAAATTTTGTTGCATTATTTACAGCAGAAGCTAAGTACATAGTTATAGGCAGTTCTGTTGTTCAAATTCAATGGTTAAAATAGCAACTTGAAATGATGTGGAATTTTGCAATCGCGGGAGACTGGCCAAAACAATCTTGTTTTCCTTTTTTATGCTTTATTTCTTATTTTCATTCATTCTTTTTTAGTACTTTCTTATATATGTATTGTATTAGAGGTTAGAATGCAGTTTTTGGCTCATTTTTGTTAAGACAATTACCGGCATTCGTTTTTCCCTTTGATGGTTGTATCTAAAGGTCGAGTAGTGCTCTGGTTGTATCTCACTCCTGAGTTGGTGATTTATCCTTCCTTTGTTGGACCCCTCCGCTCCACGTCGTCCTTCCCTGTTGCAATCTCTC